ATGAGAAAGAATGAAAAGATTCTTCTTCTTTTCATTCTTCTTCTTCTTTTCATTCTTCTTCTTCTTCTTTTCATTCTTCTTTTCATTCTTCTCATTCTTCTTTTCATTCTTCTTCTTCTTTTCATTCTTCTTTTCATTCTTCTCATTCTTCTTTTCATTCTTCTTCTCATTCTTCTTTTTCATTCTTCTTCTTCTTTTCATTCTTTTTCTTCTTCTTTTCATTCTTCTTTTCATTCTTCTCATTCTTCTTTTCATTCTTCTCATTCTTCTTTTCATTCTTCTCATTCTTCTTCTCATTCTTCTTCTCATTCTTCTTTTCATTCTTCTTCTTCTTTTCATTCTTCTTCTTCTTCTTCTTTTCATTAATGAAAAGAAGAAGTATTCCAGTACAGCAAAAAGTGTATCTGCAGAGAGCTCCGCTATTTCTGACAGTTCTCTGACAGTTCCTTCACATTTACAGCGGTTGAAACATTGTATCTATTTATTTCCGAATAAAAACATCTGTATCCTAAATGGAAACAAATAGATACAATGTTTCAACCGCTGTAAATGTGAAGGAACTGTCAGAGAACTGTCAGAAATAGCGGAGCTCTCTGCAGGGACACTTTTGCCGGCTGATCGGGAAAAATCCGATTCGCGCACCCGAAGTATGCTAATATTCGGATTCGCCGCGAATTGAATTTTTCCTGAAATTCGAAACGAATTCCACTTCGCCTGGTTCGATTCGCTCATCTCTAGTTATAACATCCCGCTCATCAATGAAGAGAAAATCGTTCCATCAGTGGTTCCGTGAAATGTTTCGTACGATTTTCTTATCGTGTGTACGGGGCATTGGTCTGGCTGATAAAAGACAAAAGTCCATCCAGTTCAACCATTAAAAAAAAAAAAGTTATAATCCTACACCCACAGTTGATCCAGAGGAAGGCAAAATAACCCAGCAAAGCATGATCCAATTTGCTCCTGCAGGGGAAACAATTCTTCCTGATCCCCCGAGAGGCAATCAGATATTCCCTGGATCAACTTTACCAGGGGTGGACTGACCATTTGGAAATTTGGGCACTGCCCGAGGGCCCGGGGTCAGTAGGGGGGCCCCATGAGATGCCCCTGGTACCTTTTTCATAGGCTTTTTTGAGTTTGGGCAAGAACACAGGGGCCCCATGATCCCCTATTGCCCGGGGGCCCCATGAGTTATCAGTCCGCCCCTGAACTTTACCTATAAATGTTAAATCCAGTTCAGGGGCGGACTGACCATTCAGGTACTCGCACACTGCCTGAGGGCCCAGGGTCAGTAGGGGGCCCCATGAGATGCCCCTGGTACCTTTTTCATAGGCCTTTTTGAGTTTGGGCAAGGACACAGGGGCCCCATGATCCCCTATTGCCCGGGGCCCCATGAGTTATCAGTCCGCCCCTGAACTTTACCTATAAATGTTATATCCAGTTCAGGGGCGGACTGACCAGTCGGGTACTCGGGCACTGCCCGAGGGCCCAGGGTCAGTAGGGGGCCCCACGAGATGCCCCTGGTACCTTTCATAGGCTTTTTTGGGTGTGGTTTGAGTGTGGGCAAGGACACAGGGGCCTCATGATCCCCTATTGCCCGGGGGCCCCATGAGTTGTCAGTCCACCCCTGATCCAGTTATATTCTGTGTATCTAAGGGCTCGTTCACACTTGACTGTTTTACCAACGCTTGCCAAACGCCCCTATAGCGTTTGGCAAGCATTGGTCCGGCGATTGCGGAACGTTTTTTAACGCTCGCAAACGCCGCATGCGCGGTTTAGCAACGGTTGCTAGGCGTTTGCCGAGCATTAAAAATGCCTCACAAACGCCTATAATGACGTGTGAATGGTGTTACCGCTCCGCAAACGCCCCGCAACCGCACCGCAAACGCCGGCTGGGCGTTTGCAGAGCGGCACCACAGACTAGAATAGGAGGCTTCAACGCCTCCTGACTCAACCAGAGGCATCTGTTTTGCCGCGACGCCCCCGTTAGAACAGCACCATGTGCTGCAATGTTTAGAATTGTCCGAGGCATTTGGGAAGCAGTAAAAATGCTTCCCAAATGCCTCTCTGCCGCCTGCACACAACGCTAGTGTGAACGTAGCCTTACTGTGATCCAACATTACAGGAAGATTATCCAGGCCAGGGGTGGACTGACAACTCATGGGGCCCCTGGGCAATAAGGGATCATGGGGCCCCTGTGTCCTTGCCCACAGTCAAAGCACACCCAAAAAAGCCTAAAAGGTCCCAGAGGCATTTTTCATGGGGCCCTCTACTGACCCCGGGCCCTCAGGCAGTGCCCGAGTGCTCGAATGGTCAGTCCGCCCCTGATCCAGGCATTCCATAAAGTCGCTTCAAAGTCACATCAAAGCAGTACTCAAGTCGCCAAGAAGTCACCCGGCCAGGTCGCAGCAGTGTGAACCAAGACGAAAGCATACAGTTGATACAAGCGATACAAATGATACAATATCTATTTTATATCATACTTTTTTGTTTTGTTTTTTTGAGCCTGTCCTGGTTACAAAGACAGTGAAAGTTCCTCTGAGGGACGTAGTAGAATCTGCGAAGATCACGGTGTACAAGCCCATAAAGTCGAGGGAAAAACACTTTAATCCGCAGCATGTGTGCGCTTTAATCTCTCCGATCTGCAGGATGGACAGCTCAGCCAATGCTGGAGGTAAAAGTAAAATATAGACGGCAATTTTCAGATTACGAGAGATTCTTAACGAGAATGAACTGCGAATGAAACCTGAACTTCAAAGGGACGCTGAGTGTACAGAAAGCCGAATGTCCCCAGCCCTTCATGACTCATCAGAGAACTCTACATGGGAAGATTTGTTATAAATGGAGAAAAAGAAAGTCCTCCTGCCGCCAGCAGCAACCAATCCTATGCCTGCGTTCCAGAACGGAACACCAAAACTGCTGAAATTTAGGGCCAGTGAACCCCGGACGGGGCTCTGAGGAAGAAGGCATGTCCTTTGAAACGCGTCAGCTGTACTGAGTGGCTTCCTCCATGATGGGATTCGCATTGGCATCTTGCCTCTAAAGTCCCCTTGAGGACTTACATGCTTGTTTTTATTCGCTGTTTGTGAGTACCATTCTTTTATTCAATAAATTTTTGGTTACTGAGGTAATGCGCAAGGTTGGTGCGCTTCTCTTTTTGTTGTTCTCCTTCACAGTTTTGTTTGGGCTTCCCCAGCCTTGATGTGGAGCTGCACGACCTTGTCTATTCCGGTGGTCCCTTCCTTTTTGGAGTTTGATTCCATCTACTCACCACCGGCCTGGGTCCCGGAGCGCAGGAGATATTGCATGGGGTTTTAGATATGCCATGGCTGCAGTTTATGCAAAAGCTATACCTCCAGGTAGTACCGCCGCCGAACCTGACCCATACCAGTGTACGGGCCTGCGCCGCAACCACCCTGCAATGGCAGTTGTGGCACACTGGTGCAGGCTTTACATTTAGCATCCTCACCACCTGTTGAATGTCTCTGGAAAGTGATCCATGAATCGCTTTTCAGAGGGGAGGCAAGGTCTGCTGAAAATGCCTCTATCCAGCCCCTTGGGACACATTGTTCCAAATGACACCATTGATGACTTTAACACTTTCACCATCAATGGGACTCTCTTTTTCCCACTGATACCATCGATGGGGCACTATTCCTCTTGCAAAGTCCAATGATGGGGCACTATTCCTACCACTGACACCAATGATGGGGCACTATTCCTCCCACTTATACCATGATGGGGCACTATTCTCCCACTGACACCAATGATGGACTTTACTATTCCTCCCACCTGATACCAATGATGGGGCACTATTCCCCACTGACACCAATCTATTCCTCCCACTGATACCAATGATGGGGCACTATTCCTCCCACTGATACCTGCAGACCAACGATGGGGCTCTATTCCTCCCACTGACACATGGGGCACTACTCCTCCCACTAAGACCAATGATGGGGCACATTCCTCCCACTGACACCAATGATGGGCATTATTCCTCCCACTAAGACCAATGATGGGGCACTATTCCTCCCACTGACACCAATGATGGGGCACTATTCCTCCCACTGACACCAATGATGGGGCACTATTCCTGATGGGGCACTATTCCCACAATGATGGGGCACTATTCCTCCCACTAACACCAATGACACATTCCTCCCACTAATACCAATGATGGGGCACTATTCCTCCCACTGACACCAACGATTGAGCACTATTCCTCCGACTGACACCATGGGGCACTATTCTCTCCCGCTAAGACCAATGATGGGGCACTATTCCTCCCACTGACACCAATGATGGAGCACTATTCCTCCCACTAATACCAATGATGGGGCTACTATTAAGACCAATGATGGGGCTCCACTGAACCAATGATGGGGCACTATTCCTCCCACTGATACCAATGATGGGGCACTATTCCCACTGACCAAGATGGGGCACTATTCACTTCCAATGATGGGGCTAATGATACCAATGATGGGGCACACTCCCACTGACACCAATGATGGGCACATTGCTCCCCAGACCAATGATGGGGCACTATTCCACCCAGGGGATCACTTCCTCTAATTGCCCCTTCACTTCACCCAGCACCCCCTTTCCTGTCCATATCTAATTCTTATGCTGCATGAGCCCCCCCCCCCCCCCCTTCTGCTGGTCTGTACAGCCCTGGATGCAGACCGTGTCCAGGGGCGCATGTGCATGTATCAGCATATATCTGCATACTGCCATTGATTTCTATGGGCAGCTGTACCCAGCAGCTGTGGCTCCCAGGTGGGTAAATACTCCCGAAATTCATGATGGAAGAGAATGAGTCCTAAAAACCCAGCAGGTGATTTAAAGTGCATGTGAAGGCAGATGTGGGTTTGGTACAAATATTAAGGTGGTCCGCCTGCAAAAAAAAAAAACCTGTGTGGATCCCCTTTAAATTGTAGACCAGCACCTCCTGCTTCCTTAGCAACCATTGACAAGAACGGAGCCATCAGCTGTCATAGTAGCAACAGAAGTACCGACACTACGCCTGGTGGTCATCTCCCGACGAACAAGAAGAAATTCCGGTGTTCCAGCAACCATACAGCCAATGTTCAGCCGAAACCTGCGCCTTGAGCTCATCCCCGGTCCTGTGTGATCAGTGGCATTGTAGGCTTCCAACATTTTTTTAATAAAAATGATAGTTGGACAGTGAAAATGTAAACATTTAGCTAAAACAAATAACTGTATCAACTCCAATTGTTTTATAGATTGCATTTTCTTTTCCTGCGGGAAAATTTACACAACATCGGGGTTAAAGTACTTCCAGTTAACGCAACAGAGTATTATTGCAACAATGTAAATAGTTACAGGAACTCTTCATGCTGAGTCACTGCAGTCTGCCAGCTAATACCATGAAAGATATACATCCGGAATCTTCTCCATATGGACACTGGATGTTCTGGATACTAAGGGAGACATTTACTAAAACCTGAGAGTGCCAAATCTGGTGCAGCTGTGCATAGTAACCAATCAGCTTCCAGGTTTTATGGTCAAAAGCTTAAAGAGGAACTTGACTCCATCTGCACACCAAAAACACTTTTTTAATTCATTTTTAGTATTCAAAGCAAACTCCCCCATCCATCCATATCTCCATGCTTTATTTTGCTGAAAAAAAAAAACACACTAACCCCCCCCCCCTAGCATTTCTAGTCATGGCCATCTTGAGTAAGGGCATATGAATAATGTAGCATTTACTTCCTAGAATCCATCTGCCCTTAGCTCAGGAATGCAGACAGGAGGGTGTGCTTAACTACCTGCCGACCGCAGATAGCCAAATGACGGCTGCACTGCGGCCGGCCAGTACTAAGTGGACGTCATACGAGTTCCGCCCACCTGTGCCCAGCAGTGCGCCCACTAGCTCCGCCCACCTGTGCCCAGCAGATCACCCACCTGTGCCACTCTGCAGTGTCACACACCTGTGCCCAGAAGTGCCACCTACCTGTGCCCACCCCCCTGTGCCCACCAGTGCCACCCACCTGTGCCCACCCACCAGTGCTGCCCACCAGTGCCACCCACCAGTGCAGCCCAGCAGTGCTGCCAGTCAGTGCCCAGGGGTTGTGCCAGTCAGTGCCGCCAGTCAGTGCCCAGCAGTGATGCCAGTCAGTGCCGTCTATCAGTACCCATCATCAGTGTCACCTATCAGTGCCGCCTATCAGTGCTGCATATTAGTGCCGCCTATCCATGCCACCTCATTAGTACTGCCTATCAGTGCCCTTTAGTGCTGCCTATCAGTGCCCATCAGTGCCGCCTATCAGTGCCCATCAGTGCTGCCTCATCAACGCACATCAGTGAAGGAGAAAAGATACCTGTTTGAAAAATTTTATAATAGAAACAAAGAAACTTTTTTTTTTTTTATAGCGCAAAAAGTAAAGCGCCCAGTGGCGATTAAATACCACCAAAAGAAAGCTCTATTTGTGAGAAAAAAATGATCAAAATTTCATATGGGTACAATGTTGCATGACCGCGCAATTGTCAATCAAAGTGCGGCAGCGCTGAAAGCTGAAAATTGGCCTGGTAAATAAGGGGGTATAAGTGCCTGGTAGGCAAGTGGTTAACTAAGAAAACCCCTCCTTAAGACTCCTGGGATATTTGATATCATCCTAGATTGTAAGCTCCAAGGATCAGGGCCCTCGAACCCCTCGTGTATCGCACTGTATTGTTATTGTACTGTCTCATGTATTGTCCCCCATTGTAATGTACAGCGCTGAGCGAACTGTTGGCGCTATATAAATTCTGTATAATAATAATCCTAGATTGTAAGCTCCAAGGATCAGGGCCCTCCTATCCCTCTTGTATTGAACTGTATTGTCTGCCTTATATTGTAAAGCGCTGAGCAAACTGTTGGCGCTATATAAATCCTGTATAATAATAATGTGCCTAGGCATGGAAACCAGGAAGTAACTGAAATGTAAAAAATGTTTTTAAAATGAGTAAATATAATATACTTTCCTATATACACTGTTCGAAAAAAGTTTTGGGGGCCAGAACATCCTTCTGCATCGGGGCTTAAATAATAATACCAGACAGGCTTGACCAATGTGACTATATACACTGCTCAAAAAAATAAAAAGGAACACTTTGAAAACCCTTCAGATCTCAATGGGGACAAATCTCCTGCTGGATCTCTATACTGACATGGACGGGGTGATGTGTGAGGAATGTAAGTATGCCCCATCGTTTGATGGAAATGAAAATGATCGACCTACAGAGGACTGAATTCAAAGACACCCCGAAAATCAAAGTGAAAAAAATTATGCAGCAGGCGAGTCCATTTTGAGGAAATTTGATTGCAGCAACTCAGAATGGTTTTCAGTAGTTTGTATGGCCCCCACGTGCTTGTATGCATGCCTGACAACGTTGGGGGAGACTCCTAATGAGACCACAGATGGTGTCCTGGGGGATTTCCTCCCAGATCTGAGCTCCTGGACAGTCTGAGGTGCACCTGGCGGCGTCGGATGGACTGAAACATGACATACCAGAGATGTTGTATTGGATTTAGGTCAGGCGAGCGTGGGGGCCATTCAATGGTATCAATTCCTTCATCCTCCAGGAACTGCCTGCATACTCTCACCACATGAGGCCGGGCATTGTATTGCACCAGGAGGAACTCAGGACCCACTGCACCAGTGTAGGGTCTGACAATGGGTCCAAGGATTTCATCTCGATACCTAATGGCAGTCAGGGTACCATTGTCTATCCTGTAGAGGTCTGTGCGTCCCTCCATGGATATGCCTCCCCAGACCATCACTGACCCACCACCATATCGGTCATGCTGTACGATGTTACAGGCAGCAGAACGTTCTCCGCGGCTTCTCCAGACCCTTTCACTTCTGTCACATGTGCTCAGGGTGAACCTGCTCTCATCTGTGAAAAGCACAGGGCACCAGTGGGGGACCTGCCAATTCTGGTGTTCAATGGCAAATGTCAATCGAGCTCTATGGTGCCGGGCAGTGAGCACAGGGCCCGCTAGAGGATGTCGGGCCCTCAGGCCACCCTCATGAAGTCTGTTTCTGATTGTTTGGTCAGAGACATTCACACCAGTGGCCTGCTGGAGGTCATTTTGTAGGGCTCTGGTAGTGCTCATCCTGTTCCTCTTTGCACAAAGGAGCAGATACCGGCCCTGCGGATGGGTTAAGGACCTTCTACGTCCCTGTCCAGCTCTCCTAGAGGAACTGCCTGTCTCCTAGAATCTCCTCCATGCTCTTGAGACTGTGCTGGGAGACACAGCAAACCTTCTGGCAATGGAACATATCGATGTGCCATCCTGGAGGAGTTGGACTGCCTGTGCAACCTCTGTAGGGTCCAGGTATGGCCTCATGCTACCAGCAGTGACACTGACCCTAGCCAAATGCAAAACTAGTGAAAAACAGTCAGAAAAGATGAGTAGTGAAAAAAATGTCAGTGGCCTCCACCTGCAAAACCATTCCTGTTTTGGGGGTCATCTCATTGTTGCCCATCTAGTGCACCTGTTGTTCATTTCATTAACACCAAAGCAGCTGAAGCTGATTAACAACCCCCCACTGCTACTTACCTGACCAGATCAATATCCCAGGAGTGTCATTGGCTTGATGCTAGACTCTGAATATAAAGTGTTCCTTTAATTATTTTGAGTAGTGTATTTACTAATGCTAGCAGCATAAGGATTAAAAAATAGTCATGTTGACTGAAAGGGTGAAGTTCTGCTTTAACTGAACAAGCTGAAGTAAGAAGCTGATTGGTTACTATGCACAGCTGCATCAGATTCTCTGTGCTTCAGTTCCTAGGTGTACTGCTGTGGCTTGTATTTAAAGTGTATGCAAAGCCTAAGGTCAGCTTTACATGCATTAAAGTAATGCGTTGCCATGGGGCGCCTTTAATTTTGTAACAACAAACCGGCACAACACAGACAAACTATGATGCAGTGCAGCACAACACACTATCATGCACTGCAGAGAGACATGTCAGCAAAAGTGGTGCAGGTCCCATCTAACCACCTCCCGTGCGGCCGTTGTATATAAACGGCCAGATGGTGGCAGTGCAGGGTCCTGTGGCTTTTTATAAATAGGCTCCC